CTGTTGATGCATGTTGTTCTAAAGTGCAAATAAAATTGGTTAAGAAGAGGGGCAGAGGTCAGCATTGTGCCAGTTTTCCCTCCACCCCAACTCCAAACCAAATAGACCCCAAGTGTCTACAAGCAACCCTTGGGGGTGGACAAAGGCGCCAGCGACGACAGTGATTCCCTCTCACCCCTTGTCTGCCATAGAGTGCCCACTTACTTAGGGTGCAAAGTCTTTTATCAAAAAATATTAATTAGCCTGTTCCTAAAGCAGCCATGACATTACCTGTACCACCTTTCAAAGATGAGCTTGCATGCTCAGTCATAAGCAGTTCCTTTATTTCTCTACACTTTGGCCTTTCCATCACTTTGGTAAAGACAAATCTTGATCACATGTTTCAATAGTTATTCTCACATGAAAAATGTTTGGGTTCAAATACTGGGCACTATGCCTGAGGTGTTTTACAACTTCAAACTTTGTCTCATGCTCTTCTTTTGATATTATAATATATTATCATTTATGATAGTATAATTTTATTATACATAAGTTTATAACTACCTTTCTCATGTAAAAATGCTATTTAACAAAAAAACGTTTTAAACTACAAGCTTATGCAACAGAAGAAAAGCACATTTAAGCAGATAATCATCTCATCATCCTCAGTTCATGACTTCTTTAGTTTCCACGAGGAACTTTCAGATATACAAACTCAGCAGACAAACACATCTAAGCCTGAAAGTTTAATAATAAACAACAAATTTGCAAAACAACTCAACTAGCTCTGAAAACATAATCTGAAAGGCACCAATCAGTTCTAAATCTTCTGACTCTGGATGAACCTTGCTGACTCTGCTGCTCCACCAAATCAGGTTTTTATTCACACTCTCTCTTTTTATCACTCTGTGCTCGTCCTGCCTTTTGTTGTTCTGTTTGTTAATAAAGCTTGGTTTATTTTACACTCTAGTCCTCATCTTTAGAAAAACACAATCCCAGCCCTATTTTTGGGGGAGCTGGTGTGGTTCACTGCACACACCTTTCAACTTTATCATCAGCTTTAACAGTAATATTTATGCTTCTGCTGCTGAGCCATGAGGACCTTTGAAATAAAAAAAAATTAAATCTTAAAAGTTCCCGTGCACAACTCCCTTCATCCGCTTCCTCCTCAGATGACCCTGACCAACAGACCCTTCCCTGACCCACAGACCCCTCCCCGACAAGAACAGCAGGACAGCAAAAGTCAGGCTTTGGATACATGCACAGGGCGCATCCACCTCGCCAGTGTGGATGTAATAAAKCTTCACGTTTAAAGTCCGTATTTGTCACGCGCGTGGTGGGGGGGGGGGGTGCGTGCGTGCATGTATGTGTGTGCACGCACGGGGCGGGAGTGTCTGCCGCGGATAACAGAGCAGGCAGGAGGGGGAGAGGACGAGGAGAAGAGCAGTGAACTTATTTCTAATTTTTTCTGACTAATTTAATTTAATTTTTATTGTTTTTATCGTCCTGCAGGCTCTGAGAGAAAATTAATTTGAAGCTGAGATATATTTTTTAAATCGTTAGATTACTCTAAAGCAAAATGAGGGAAAATCTGTGTCAGTTACAGACATTCTGTTCACGTGAGCAGCTGTCAGTCAGCACCTGTCATACTTCAGACGCACGACGGAGCGTGTCTGAACCAATCATTGATCAGCTGACTGATTTAAATACATCTTAACATTCATGAGGTGCTTTTCATTTACAGTTTATGGTTGAGTGTGGGCGTGTAGAGGGTAGAACCTGACCCAGGAACTTGTGCGCAAACTCTGACATGCGGCTGTGAGTTATAAAGGAAAGATGCGCAGAAACGTGAGTACGCACGGTTTTATAAATCTGAATTTTTTTTGGCATACGCCATTTTCATCTTTTGGCCGTACGTTCACTTTTAGTATCGTTTCCACATAATCCTTTATAAATCTGACCCCAGGAACGTCAGGTGCACACGTTCAGTTTTACCACACGGTAATCTCAGTGGATACATTGACAGTCATCAGATATGGAGAAGCTGCAAATAAAGTCTAAAATGAAAAATAAAGTAAAACAAACTGCAGTCATGAATAAGGTGGTTTGTTTTGTTTTTTATATATTTTTCAGTTCAGCAGCAGCCGCTTGTGAGCTTGACTCATCATCAAGCAACAATTAAATGAAGTTTTCACCTGTGATTGTTTTGTTATTTAAATCATTTATTAGGAAGAATGATCAAATGAAAAAAACTAAACGCATGTAAATAATATCCACACTGAAGTTTGGACAGCGGGTCAGAAACTCGTGCTGGAACGCAGTCTTTTTACGCAAGAGATGGTGAGTAAAGCGAACTATTTAGGTATTTTAATTAACAAAAAACTATTTTGGGGGGGGGGGGGTGACATTTCCTCGCCTGGCAGTAGTTTCTCCAAAGCGACCTGTCATCTCTCAGCGCAAACTGCAGCTGCGTTTGGACAGCAACAAACTCCACAAAATTATATTTTAACCCGACAGGAAACTTATCTGCTCTGGGGCAAATCAGAAGAAGAAGAAGCATCAACCCACCCCGACAGCAGAGGTGTTCGGGCGGCCTGATGTGAAAACCCCTCTGCTGCTGCAGCGCGAGGCATCATGAAACAAACTGAATTAACTTCTCTTTGTGGTTAAATATATATTTTAAACAAACAAAAGGTTGTTGTTTCACGTAGAGTTTAGATCAGGGCTAAAAAAAAAAAAAAACGCTACGGTGATCCGAATCCAACCGGACATATATTTTAGGCTAAATACCATTTAATGTGATCCCGTTTTAATTTAATCCTCACAGCTAAAATGTTCCTAAGTTTATAAAGACCTCAGCAGTTTTAGTCGTCGTGGGGACAATATCTGTGGATGTTCTGGATGTTCTGACACGGAGCAAGTTTTAACCTGGAGCAGCGGTGAGTGTCAGCGAGGGTCCGGTTCTGTGACAGCAGGACCGCACGGAGCAGTCACTGTCCGGTTCTGTAACTTCTGTTCGGACCGGTCCGTACCAGGACTTGCTTGAAAATTTTTCAGGAGCAGTTTGAAGAGCTGATCACGGACATCCACGTCTTTTTTTTTTTTCCATCACTGCCTCGAGGAAAGTTTCTGTCCTCCCGCTGCCTGCTGCAGGGGTCCGGACCTGCTGCAGGGGTCCGGACATCCTGATGTGTAAAACCCCTCAGCAACGGAGGCACATGTTCTGGTTTATGTGCACTTATGGGGACATACAGCGGAGTGAGTCGCTGAGCTTCAACTCATTTATTATTTCCTGAACACAGTAAGGCTGTGGCTGTGATCTATAATAATCATAATAATTATTATTATTATTATTATGTGGAGCCGTGTGTGTGTGTGTGTGTGTGAGTGGACATGTTTTACTGCACATGTGGGGACAATATGTGTGTGTGAGGGTGTGTGTATTTTTGGCCCGATCTAAACTACGTGACACAACAACCACAGTTTAAAACTCTTGAAGCACAAAGAGGATGTGTAAGTTAATTCAGTTTGTTTTATGACTGATAGACTCCATGTTTTCACTGTGGCTGAGGAGAAGGCAGCTTCTACCACAGCTACCATCAACAATGCTATGGCTAACTCCTGAATCTCTGCAGGGCGTGTCTCTACAGAGAGCCTTTTATATGAGCACAGTACTGTGACACGTCACGCTGTACAGCACGTCACAGGTACTTCAAACGTGGTAGTCTTTTTTAAACCCCTAGATGGCAGTACCAAGCCGTTTTTGAACAAATATTGACGATTTAAACTATTTTAGACGAAAATGTTAAATTTAGGTCAAACATAGCAAGGTATTACCCTTAAGACACAATTTGGGCAGTTTATTTGTTAAAAAAAAGTTGATTTTGGGGTGGGTTACACTTTAAACAGTACGCTCTCGGTTATAGTCACGGTTTGTCGCTTTGGTTACTCGTGTAGGGCGAGCACACACCCCTGCCAGCGGTGGTGTTTATTCTTGATACTTATGTTGTAGTATTATCCAAAAGAATATGTGGCAGTAGGCTACACTTTATAACTTGTAAAACATTGTAAATCAGAGTACAAACGATTTACAAACTAATTGGTGCGCAATGTGCACAGCCCGTGCAGAGTAGTGTGAGCAGCTGTTGTTGCATGCTCACTCACACTTTACACTACAGTACTAAACAGTACACACATTTTCCCCCTCATTCATAAAAAGCTCAAATCGGGAACTATTCCAGGGACAAGTATGCAGTTAAACATGTGTGCGCTGCTGCGGCTAATTGTTAGCACAACACTGGTGTTTACCTTTCATCACACTGAGGACCGGTCCTGCTCTTTTTTAAATCCAAACACGACAAACCCTCCACCTCCCTGCCTGTCGTCGAGCCACAGTCATCCCCAAATTTCCTCATTTTGTGGTAATTTTAGCTGGAGTTTACATTTATCTATACTCTCCTTCTGAAGTTTCCCATGTGTCCTGTGCTCATCACAGACCAGCCACAACCAAAATAAAGTGGTTCCATGTGCAACTCATGCAGCGCTAACCGATCATCCAGATAAACATGTCCGACTCAGAGGGGGAGAAAAAAAGGGCCGTCAATTTTAGGTCTATATTTTAAACAAATCCATTGAATTAATTTTAATGACCCGCGGAAATGCTAGTGCAGCATGTCAGACCCAGCAGAAAGCACAGAGTGAGCCACTGAAGGGGCTGTCACCTCTAAGTGGTAAACCCAAACAAAAGTGTGCGGTGAAGACCAGCTGGCCACAGCACAGATGTCACTCAAGGTCACCCTTTTAAATAGGGCCCAGGATGTTGCTACACTCCTGGTGGAGTGTGCTCTCACACCAAGAGGGACTGGGAGACCCCTGCTACAGCAAGCTAGAGAAATAACCTCCACAATCCAGTGGGAGAGTCTCTGTCTGAAAAGAGCCCTGCCCCTGAGTGGGTGAAGCCTGGTTTATAGTTGACACGTCGCACCGGGCATGAGGGGGTGCGCGCCAAAAGTGACACATTCGCGCCGTCCCCGCCCCTGTGCGTTGGCCCTGTGCGTTGTCCCGGTGCATGGTCGTGCACTTCCGCAATTTTGAAACTCCGCAAAGGCTGCGTGCCACTCGTCGCGACGCACAACAGGTTAGAATGTGCCGGTGCATCTGTCCATGACAACCAGATGGCACAAAACTCATGGAAGGAAATAGCAACGGCTTTAATGACTTTAAAGAAAGATCAGTTAATATGCCGGAAGACATGGTTTGGCACCGTACTGCCGTTTTCATTTTTTCACCGACATGGAACAGCGCGCAACTATAAATGCACACAGTACGTGACTTCCGAGCGCGCACATTCCACGTAGCACGAGCGAACACCCAGAGCACAACTATAACCAAGCCTTTAGCAACACATCCAAACAGCTGATCACGACCTCACATCCTATGTGCAATCAATGTAAATATGCAACGCACCTAAAGGGCACAAAGAATGCAACCTCCTTTGCTTTGAGTCTCGAGCACCCGAGTAAGATCCCAGGGAGGGATACTGGGTTTAAAAACAGGCCGTAGTTTACGGATCCCCTTCAGAAAACGCTCCGCCAGGGGATGGGCAACTGGTGTGAGCCCATCAAAACCCACATCGCAGGCAGAAATGGCTGCCAGGACTTTAATCGTGGAAAAAGAAAGACCTTTATCCAGTATCTCCAGCAGAAATGTTAAAACATCCACCACTGAGCACTGAAATGAGACAATGTGTCTAACCTTTAGGCCTTTAGATAACAAGCAGGACCTTTCAGTAGGTAGGCATGCAGCCTCCACAGTTCTGGATGTGGGTGAAATATCTCCCCCCTGCCTGAGAGAGGAGATCTGGGCGAAGAGGAAGTTGCCAGGGCTGAGCTGCCAGCAGGCTGATTGTCTCGGCGTACCATGACTTCGCTGGCTAACGAGGTGCACCAGAATCAGGGACAGACCTGTATGCGTACCCTCTCCAGTAGAAGTAGTACCATTTCCACTGGGGGAAATGCATGCAGAAGTACGTTGGGCCACTAGTGAGCCAAATGCTAAGTTCAAACCGAACGCGTTTTGAGCGGCCAAAAAGTGCAAAACGTCTCTCATTGGACGCACTATTTTCAGACCGAAGAACGCACTAGTGTTCAGACCAGAACAAGCAGTGGCTGCAGCAAGGTGTGGGGGGAGCGTGTCCTCGGCAGGTGAAATAAAGATAAAATAAAAGAAAATGGCTTTGACTTATTTGCTAAAAAGCTAGCGAACATTGCACACAGCAGATAATTAACTCACCAGATGATTTAGAGGCGATTTGTTCGGTTAGTTTCGTCACTCCAGAAGTTGCCAGCTGACGGACTTTTTTCTTTTTTTGGTCCAGAGCAGCTGATCCACATCGGTGCTGATATATCCTGCCAGAAAATCCAACTGCACACAGTCGATTTCAGGTAAAGATCTCCAGTCCGTCTGTTTCGGTTTTCAGTGGGAGACGCGTTGAGTGGTGAAAAGTTCAGATATTTGAACTCTTGCGGCGGCGGCTTCCGCAGCACCGCATGCGCGGAAAACTCTCTGCGCCCCTTCCGCCTTCATTGTGCACCGCCCAAAACGTAAGTGACACGACGCACGACCCCTAGAGGCGCATCCTCATAGACTTTGCATGTAAATTGGCCGCTCCTGCCACTCAAAATGCGTTCGGTGTGAATAAAAGAGTCCACCCCCAGTGGAGCGTTCTGATCTGTTATGGAAAAAAAACAGAGGGCAGTGGCTAAGTGATCCACTGCAGTTTCACCAAATAGATCCCATTTCTGGGCCACCACTGAGGGATGAAGCCTCCATTCCCTCACTAGAGGTCCACCCCTGGAGAGTAGATCTGGGCCCAGGATTCAGTCTTCCAGAGACATGAGTGGCCCTGATAGACAGGAAATGTACACTGCAAGAGAGTGTGAGACAGTTCCAACAGGGGAAGAGACTGAGTTCCTCCCTGTCTGTTTATACATGATTTTACAGTCGTGTTTGTTCTGATCAGAACATGTTGGTTCTTCAGAATTGGACAAAAAATTTTCAGTGCCAACAGACCCGCTAACCTAGGCAGTTTATGTGGACTCTGGACGTCGTGGAATCCAAACCCCTCTCACTGCCGCACCATCACACAGAGCCCCCCCACCCCACCAGGGAGGCGTCTGTGGATACCACCTTGCAAAAGGACACTCTCCCTATCGGTGAGCCTCAGCACAGCAGGCCGGGTTCCCTCCAAGGGCGGAGAGCCATCATGCAGGAGGCAGTTATCATTACCTTTCTGTGGCGTGGTGTGATGCACAGCCAGTGAGAGTGACACCAGCGCTGAAACCGGCATATTTTTAGCAGACTGAGTGGTACTACTGCAGTCATAGATGCCATCATGCCTATTAGCTGTAGAATGGTCTGAAAATGCAGTTTGTGTTCCAGTTGAAACAGTGAGGCAGCGGTGAAAAGCAGCTACTCTGTTCTCTGAAAGACCAGTTCTGCTTGACAGGGAGCATATTTCTAACCTGAGGAAAGAAAACTGCTGACTCGGAGTCAGAACTGAGGAATGACGGTGATGATGGGCAGTATATAGTGAAGGCGGGGCCTGTCACCTGTCGTCATCACATCATCTGCCTAAAGGCGTGATTAGAGGTGTCTTCAGCCAGGACACGCAGGGTGTGGTGTCCCATACTTCATGTGTTGTACCAAGTAAATCGACTGAAAGGGAACCAGCCTTCTTTATCAGGTTGTTTAGCCTTTTTAGGCCCCTGGCTCTGATGCTGAAAGGCTTTTCCACCACGGACTCTTCTTCACCAAACGTGACACTGATCATTGAGTGATAAAAAATAAAAAACACAATATCCAGCCATCTTTATTGCTGTTTATGCACTGAGCTGTGCGAGGGCAGAGGGAGGATCTATGATAACTTAAAGCCTGCTGCGTCTTCAGCTCGTTTATACTCAATTAGGAAAAAGACGTCCAAAATTACGCAATCTCCAACCCGTTGTCTAATGACTTACTGAAGTATAATCCAAGGTTTAGAATGTCTAGAGACTCCAACTACACAACAAAATGCCTTTTACATCTAAAAGAGTGGATTTTGCATATGTCCCCTTCAAAGTAGTATCTCACTGCACTGTGACTGAAAATAAACCATATTATATGTGTTGCCTCTAAAAATACGAATCAATCCCTACTATACAGATCTAATATGTTTTTATTGTAAGCTTTTGTATCCTGTAATTTTATTTAACCAATGAGAAAAGGGGTTTTTAGCTTTTATAATGGACAATGGGCTTGTGCTTACTGTGCCACCATCCAGCATTAGCACAGAGCAGCACCATGCAGTCTAAGGTGATATTTTGTAGGACATTCTGAATTAAACAGATGTACAAGGTTTTGCTTGCAGTCTTGTAGTGAACCAGACCTTTAGAGTTGCACTTTGAGATTTTAAATGATCAAAACATTTTTCCCGAACTGTGCAGGTGACTTATCCACAGGAGGACAGCTCAAACTTACATTTGATCGCCTTCTAGTGACTTCTGGATCTCCTGAAGAACCTCTGTAAAAATAAATAAATAAAAAAAGACTATAACCAAGCTGTTCTCTGCACATGAAATACGCAGCAGCAGCAGCTTTATCAGTGGAGGATGCTACTAACAGCAGTATTAAGTGGGATCCCATTAGGTCTGGTTCCCAGACAGTGATTGTAAAGGGAGCAGAAAGCTGATATACCAGTTTAAGGCAGCACATGATGCAATCAGAACTGAAACAAGACTACAGACACAGGCGTGCCTGCTTTGAGGACTTTTCAGATCTGGATTTCATTACATTCGGTTTTTGAGTACTCACGCTCATCATTCAGCAAAGCATGCTCCATAACGCATCTAGCTGCACTTTCTGGAACACACAGGCAGCAGGCAGAGGACACACAACAGCAGGACAGACATAACGTGTGGGTTTAAATCAGCACATCGACAACACTACATTTGAACATGCAGCATCTAAGCTGGATGCACATGCAGAATAATATATACATAAATAAACATCTTACCTGCATCCTCACGGTGTTGTGTGGTTCTGAAAAAGCAAAACAGAACATTTAATAATTCCCAGGTAAAACAAACTAAACTTTAAATTTAAACTAATTATTTGTTACCCCTCAGAGTATGTTGGGGACCATCCAGTACTACCACACCAAATCTTAGTCTAATATCTCTAAAACAGACAGTGTTATCGGCAGGTCTGCGTTTGATACGGTAGCTGAAGTACTCCTACGTCACCATAGATCAGAATTTACATAAAGTAGTGCTGGGCATAGATTAAAAATTTTAATCGTAATTAATCTCAAGATATTTTTATGTGAATAATTTTTTTTTTTTAGAAACGATCACTCTCCTATGGCTGAAAGTGTACATTTGTATGTTGCAATACATGTGCGACACACCACGTACATTTTTCTTTTGTTTTTCATTTTAACTTCTTATTGCTTATTGTATTTTTTTCCCGACAACAGGGGCCTCCTCTATCTGGAACACTTAAACAACGCACGCTAAGTCCAAGTAAATCAAACTTTTGTGAAGTACATTCAACTCTGTACAGAACAAAGCACTCAATGCGAATATTTCATTGATTAAGATCGGGAGTTAGCGTGCGTTGTTTAAGTGTTCCCTTTATTTTTTGAGCAGTGTGTATCTATCTATCTATCTATCTATATATATA